TCATCCACTGGTGTCACAATATCTTGCAAACTCCAGAATTCGCAAAGAACAGGCAAGATTACACAATGTACAAAACAGATCAATAGGCAATATTTTCAGAATTTTAAATTTTTCTGTTTGAAAGCGGCGACAAGTACCATCTAATATTCACCTGGAGCGTCTATTTTGGGTGTCCATCTAACTGTTTGACTTATGCAGAGCTTTGACACGCTGTCCCGAACAACTAAAGGAGAGACAATCAATAATCTGTACCACAAAAATTACGCATGCTGTCCAACTACAATCGAATTAAGTGGCACGCCTTGAGTGACCACTGTTGCTTCCTCTCAAGAGCGCACAATCGATCACGAGTGACAGTTCGATTACTCGTGCAGTGTGAAATCACCAGTGCACCAAGTCAGTTTAATTGACTGATCATCTTATACGAAAGGGACTCGGTCGGAAACAGAGACCGTATCTCTCTAGCAGCGAGTAGGCTCACAGATTCCCTGTGGACCTCTAGGTTACAAGAAAATCTCGTTTTAACAGCTTGGGGTCGTTCTGTGAGTTAAAACACATGTGAATCAAACTCTGAATGGCTAATTTTATCTCCGGCTTTTAAAATCGATGTGATATTACTGGTGACAAGTCAAGCTCCAAGCTTGAAAATTGAAAAAGAAGTACTTGGAATAGCCATGGAAATAAACGCTACAGTCGTAATTCGAATTTCCGTTTGTGTCGATTTTATCAAAACTGTTGAAAGATATTTTGAGCCCACAAAATATATTTGGCCCAGATGAAAGAGTAGAATGCCGAGTAATTCCGTTTTTCTCCAGACGTTTAAAGACTCGGTGCAAGTTATTGATATCAAGCCAATAGTTGAATAAATAGTCCCCCTCTACAGCGTACCGCTCCCAGCGTCTGTCTCTTTACGGTGAACATCCTCAAACAACGAGTTTTAACCTTTCATTCCGTAATGGACAGCTCACGTATGTCTTGTTTAATAAGCTTCAATGTTTTCGTTAGAAAATCAAATGACGCTGAAAACACAGTTTGTAGTTTTCAAAAGAAACCTCATTTTTAGTGAGATCATCACACAAGAGGACGACTTTTTTGAGTCCACACTGTAATCCCCGTGGGGAGTTGTTTCAGCCATCGCACTTGTCCGGCTAAGAAAAGGGCTTTTAGTTAACAGAAAGGTGGACAAAACGTCCAAATAACGGATTCCTCTATCATCTTGATAAACAGGGGGTGTTACCATTAATATGTCTATTATACCGACATAAGCCAGAGGATAAGGCGACCTGTGACAGGTGGCTGCCAATCCGTTCGTCAGTTACCATACCCGAACAGATCAACGACATGTATATCCTCATCGTTGAAGGAGAATACCGACAGCTGAAATTCAAGGATGAAGGATCGGAATCGAACTGTGCGCCTCGATTGATTGTGTACCACATCCGTACATTCTTGGGTGGGACGGTGTATGATAAATAATCCTAAGAAACTGATCAACCCAAACGTTCAGCCTGGATTTTCAAAAAGAACACGAATATTTATCCACCAGCATGACAATCTCAGCCTGTTGAAACATTGTGGAATAAAGGAAGCCATTTTTGAGATCTGGTTTTAGGAGGTTGAACTAACTGTGGAGTGAAACCCGTCAATTTCGAGACATTTGAACAGGTGAAATTGGTAGTGCTCGTCGAAGGAAGTCGTGTTTACATTCGCCACTGTTTATATCAACAAAATAGCTGGCCCGGAGGATCGTACTCAGTTTTGAATGCTTGAGACACAATGCTCGTCGGATTGTGTGATTCTGTAATACATAAACTTAATGCAATTCACCTAAAGACAGATTGTCAATTATCTCTAAACAGTGTGTGAATGGATCAGTGGTCTCTTGTGTAAGCCCACCAATTTTCCCGTTGGCAGAGAAATTCAGTTAGTTACTTCTTCCCAATATGGGGGAGAGATGGCCCAAGTGGTTGGAGCGCGAATTTATTGACCAAAAAATCCGTGGTTCGAACTCGACATCTGCACTTCGACCTCTCCTGTGTCTAGACTTGGGCAACCTGACAGTATCCCAGCCCTCGTGCTTTCTTCGAAGGCAGCGAAGCTGACAGCTAAACGATCCCTAACGTGTCTCTAAAATAATAGACACAAGACAAAAATGGTTCTGTTCTATGCAAACTGCACGTTCTACCGGTTTGAACGACAATATCCAAGATGTTGTTGTCAAAGCTCAACCCCCACGAATGTGATTTACAACCTGAAATGCCCAAACAGATGATTTGACAAACCTCAGAACACAGTGAACATTTTGTTACGGCTCATTCTGTCTGCCTGGATGGATTTGGTATCGATCGATTCTACCCACAAACTATTGCGCGCAAAACGTTCACATTTGTAGCACCGCCACTTCACCAACGGTTTGAAGTGTTTCACCTCTGTCGGTCCGATGTCAGTTTCCATCTTTCACGGAGGGAACTAATCCTGATTAGAGTGCCAACACTCTTGGACCCACGTGTATTTTTTGTAGGTTGCAAGGTATGCAGACGACGTATCGTTCGGATGACTCATCCTTGTCGACGGCCGCGCAGTGGCATCAGACGAACAAGGTGATGACCGATTCATCAGGCGATCATGTGTGCACTCATTAGCTTAGGGCTAAAAACCTCCAGATGAGAGAGTGAATTCGACTGGTATAGCGAACTTCGAGAGGCGAAAGCCTGGAAAAACGGGAGACACTTCCCAATGCACTTTCCAACTGGTTGAACTAAAATGTGCCATTAAAATGACGATTAGAATGTCCTGCCGTTGATCCCTACAGTTGGCCAGAAAGGCATGTCAGAACCTCCAGTGCCTGGGATGAATTTCAATCAGAAACGAAGACTAGATTAAGAAGAGAACATTACCTGTCAGAATCGTAGTGACCGGGTACACAAATGCACTGTTGTAAACAGCTTTTGGATCTTTTCCAGATAAGCCCCGCCACTAATGCGAAAAGTGCATGTGCGAAAAGTTAAGCCCCGTCCCACATTTTGCCAGCTCTAATTTAATGTACACACACAATCTTGACCCACGTTTGATGAGAACAGTTCCTTATCCGCATCTAGACTCATTTTGTGCAGAACTTTTCTCTGTTCGGGCGTAAAACCCCAAATGAACTTTCTGACGCTTTCAACTCTTGTTCATGAAAAGGAGACACCAATACGTTTTTTGCAAAACCACGGAGCCAGTAACATTTATGAAAAATGACCACCAAATGACACTTTCAACTGTTTCTGACAGGTGGAAGTGTAATGCTCGAACAGGGTCGGAGGAAATCGGGAACTTGGCTGGAGCTGGTCCAAAAATTTGGCCAAGATCAAATTCGGCTCACAGGAATTATCTATTAGCCACACGAGCGTTGTTGACTGGAAGAATTTTCTTCGCGACGTTTGCGCCTGGCGGCTTTTGCAGACTTCAACTGTTAGTCATACCGAAAACTTTGTGGATCCAACGACCAAAGCTCACACACAAACCATCGAATCTCTTTGGCACATCTACAAGATGTTGAATAAATGCCAACGCGGCACACACCGATCTTCAGTGGACAGCTACTTGTGTGAGTTTGTTTGGAGGCAAAGGTACCGAAAAATGGACCTTTTCATGCAAATTATAAGTGACATGTCCCAATTTCACCCACTTCAATAAAAACTAAAAGTAAGCACTACATATCCTCTTTTTTCTAATATTTTTTGGGTGGCTGGGGTCAATTTTTTGGTGGGGCTTATCTGGAAAAGATTCCAGCTTTTCTCCTTAAGTAAGTCTGGCAGAGCTATAATTAACTTCTATTTCAACTTGGTCGGTCATCAAAACCGAGGGTTTCATACCCGCACAAACCATGTTATTTGAGCAATTGATTCAGCCTAGTAATCAGCAACAGCGTCTTAGGCTCAATCACGCAGTTGGCACTTTGAAGTTCGTACAACCATTTTAGCCTTCAGATGATCGATCTGAGTCGTGAGAAATCAGCAGTAGGAATGAAAGGGGACCGACCCGGCAGAAACCTATGGTAGCAATCAATTCACCACAGTGTTTCAGACTGTACTCACCAAAGTCTTTTTGTACAATTAAGCCTGCGTTAAATCGAGTATGATGAAGTTGAGAGATGAAACAGGCAATCTTGGTGCGTTTTGAACGTATTTCCGATCAAGAAGGCTGAATCCATTTCAAAGAGAAGTGAGTACGAGTTCGGTGGGTACCAAGGATGATCTTCCCCAAAAATCAATCACTGCACAAAGCAGTTTATGGATAAGCTCTGAAAAGCGGTGCCCTCTTTACCATTCCTCTATCATTTTTTACAGGTCCCACCAGCGCTCGATTTCGACTGGGTTTACTGTGGACAAAGTAGACAATCAAAGCTCTATCTGGTCCAGAAGGAAAGTGTGTTCCTAATCTCTTTCTGGGCCAGCAATTTAAAACGTTTTGTGAGCTTAGACTAGAAATGGTGTTCGTCTCAGAGGTGCACAAAACAACATTGATGTTGATGGGATCGGTCTGTCTTTGAACCTCGTCCCAACCTATGGAAGTAAAATGAGTTAATAACGACTCTCGTTCTTCTCATTGAAACCCAGCTTCATTTGAGTTGTCACACATCTGTAAATCTCCAGGAGCTAGAAGCTGGAATTCCATGGATGGCTTAGAATGACAGACTGTAAAAATGGAACACTAAGAAACCAGAAAAACCGGATAACTTCACTTTCCCAAGATACGCATGTTCAGTGCCACACTAAGTGCAACCAAGCACGAAATTTGTAATGCTAAGCCAGTTGGTAAATGAACATTCGTTAGAGGTATTTGTGAATCTTCAGGAAGATGATATTTTAACAAAGTCGTGATGGTTTTCCACCTTTTCAGTCGACATTCACAGGTCCGCGAGTATTGAGCAGTATTACTGAGTTACGTCTGATATTAAAATAGTAACTGGCTGCATGTCTGCTTCCATACACGTTTGTTCTTAAAATGCAACTCACTGTGAAATTGTGTTCCTCCACCAGCCTCCTCGGTTCGATTGTGGCATGACGCAGCTGCCAGCTGTCAGTGTGGCCTTCTGCTGGGACACTTGCATCTGCCAGTTTCTTCTACGTTGCTCACACATGTTAGTTCCAGTTCGTGTCTGGTTTGTGTACTGAAGTTTTGACATGCTATCCCGATATGATCACAAATATTACTTCGTTTGCGTTTATATATCACCATCACCACCAGCCGACGCCCGCATAAGTTCACCTGGGAAAAGCAGGTACATGGGGGTATATTTTTAGGTTCCTCAAGCAAGTGAATCGAATTCCAACGTTTACTTGGGCAGTTGTTACGCAATCGGTTTGTTAACCTCAACTGCGTGACCGGACGCACGCAAGCAGTCTAATCTCATTTTCACTGGCTCACGTGCACTCGTTACTTTGATTGGCTCCGCCGACTACATGCGATTCGCCCTGCTAGTTGTGTATCCAATACGAATTGTACAATACCATCGAAGCCATTGGTTGATCAAGGTCAAGGACAAGATCATTCTCATTGGTCAAGCAAACCCAGACTCACAGTTGTCATTAGCTTTACCCAACCGAACAGCGGATTCAGGATAACTTAAGGTTTACACACTTGTGTGAATAACCAGCAGGGTGGTGGTTGTAAACTCTGGACACACGTTGCAGTTATGTGATTTCTATGTGATCTCTTCAGGCAAGTGCCAACAATTAATGTAAGGCACTTTTACCGGACTAAGATAATCAGCTCAAGAATAAGCAACTCGTTTTTTTGGGTGTCAGTTGTTGCGATGCGTTGATCAGTCATTGACGAGCGTATCTTGCGTGCTGAGTTATTCAAAGTATGAACGATATTTACGACTGCGTTCTATAACTTGACTGTCCCTGTTCTTCAGTCATCTTCCTGGGCCCTGACTACTACCTTCCATTTGTTCTCCACAAATTTTTCAGTTGAACAAAAATAGCTCACCGACTTTTGTGATTTTTTGCCATGTATTCCGGAGATGATAGTAGCCATTTTGCAAGCTACATTAGTGCGGTAAGACACGCTGCAAGCAACATAACTCGGGACGATGCTTCTGTTCTAAAGTTACTATTTCTGGGCCACCTATGGACACGACACAAGTTGAATACAAAAGGTGATCAGAGCGTCCCGCTGTTGTTAAATAATTGCTGACACCAATTCAAGAGTCCAGCAGCGTTCTGAAAAAACACAGATATGTAAGTCATCAAGGTCTTTGTTGAATATAAACCTCGAATTCACGAGGTTTTTCCGTTCGTTTTGGTACTACACGTGGTATAACACTGTTCATTAAAGGATGAACGATAGTGTGAGTAAAATTGATGGTGTGCCCAGCAGAAACATTTGGCCGCTTCTGATAAGCTCACCGCTCCTCGTCCCCCTTGGCCGCTGTAGCAAATATTCTCTACTTCAGATTCAAACGACCTAATATGCAGAAAGACGGCGTTAAAATAACCGGGTGGCAAACAAGTACTGTTTTCCGTATACTGTCCTCTAGCTGCTCACTACACCGTGTGTATGAAAGCACCAGCTACGCAGAGGTTGAGCGGTACTCAGTTTGCGAACGTTCAGGAGTTGGTTAGTTTCAAATAGCTCATTTGCAACTGCGTAAGGATTGTTTTTGCACCAGGGGGTCAGGTTCGAGCAGCTGGACCGGAACCACACCGGAAACACTACGCAAGCCTCAGTACACCATCTAAACAGAGAGAGATGCTGTGACTGTAGTCCATAGAACTCACATTTGAACCAGAACTGGACTTTTATTCCCATAGGTCAAGAAAACTGTGATGTTCTCTTGTTTCATCAGACAGTCGTCTTGTTTTATAACCGATGTACGATTCCAGACATGGTCCTCAGAAAAAGTGAACGTAAAAACTGAATTTCACGGCGGAATACTACTTATATTTTGCTGTGGTATCACGAATATCGTACCACTAGCAACCGTTTTTCAGCCCATTTAGTCGGAGAGTATCATGAAAGAGGGATTCAGGTGCATCTCCCGTTAAAACCGAATTGATGAGCAGATGAGTACAGTTCAGGAAGTTCGTTCCATTTTGGTCTAAATAAGGAATAAGGCTGACAGAAACTCAAGAACTGAACTTAATTCATGAGCCCCCCATATTGGTATGAACCGTTAATAAGACGAGAAGGTTCTATCACTCTTAGCTGGTTTTTTTTCTCTCTCCCTCCATGTGATCCTGGAAGGAGGTTTCTCAAATGATCAGGGATGATGCGAGCAATCTGAGTTTGAGTTTTTCGGCAACGTGAAAATATTTGGCTCATTCTGTAAAGAAGCTCCTAGGAGGCCCCTAGTGAAAAATCACCCCCACTACATGTCCGTGAAATTTTGCTGGCCAGACGTGTCTGTCCATCCAGTCTAGGATCAATCACAATTTTTTGTGTCGGTCACACGTAAATGATCCTCGAACAATGAACCTTACGCTATCCGTGCTATTCTACACAAGTATGCTGCCCATGGACGTACTACACTACTCATAATGTTGCTGAAAATTCCTCGACATGGTAAAAGATTCAGCTTGGTTCCAGGTGAGTCTCTCGCAAGACTAAATTTGTTTGCTATGTTGTCCAGAGTTTCCGACGGAGTGCAGAACGCGGTCTGGACAACTTGGTCAAACACACGTAACTTTTGGTTCGCCCATCAAACGAATCAGTCCTATACTATGGTGTGGCATACTGTGGCAGAGTACAATACATTATCGCATAGCATGCATAAGACCACAGAATGTGGATGCGTGCTGCTTTGTCCCCTCCAACGGCCATTTGATCATACTGCTGACCAGTAACCAACTACTAACCAAGACTTCACCTGTTCGAATCTCACCAGAGAAGGATGAGCTCCACGTTGCTGATACATTCAGACAAAGATGGATGAAGCAGCTATAGAATACTTTCACAAAATAAACTACTCACAAGGCTGCTGAAAACTCTTCGACAGCCCACGACCGAGGGCTCATCAGGTAGGCGCGGTCCCCGAGTTTCCGTCAACCTTATGTTCTACTTGAACCCAAATCACACTATTTTCGGGAAATGCACTGAATTGCAAATCAATTTGGTTTTCACAAGAGAATACGTCTCAATATTTCCGCCTATGCTTTCAAAATGATGTATCGTTCGTCTCTCTTACCACGCAGAGCTGGCCTCTGCTCCCTATCATGAAGATGTTGGAATGGTCAGCGTTTATTTGCCGAGGCGTGATGGGGCTACTACAAACGTTCAAGCATCTGTGAACCCAAAACTGAGGTAATGGCTGCTCTAAAACAAGAATATAGGAGACAAAGCGATTAGTAAAAGAAGAGAGTAAAAGAGATCATTGAAATCTCTCTGGGCAGGGCAGCACAATAAAGTGTTTCGCGTCATCTCATCACTTCCATTTTGCGCTTCCCATTTGACCAGAGTAATATTCACTCGTATAGAAGCCGCCCTGTGTTCCGGTTGGTATAACAGACAAGTATCACAGTATGTTATGTAGACGTAACACACCAATTTTAACACACTACTCATAAAGCTCATCAAGTAGTTGCCATCCTTCTGCATCGAAAACCGAAAATCCTACTTGATTTTCCTTGGTCGTATTATGGGCATCGAAATTAACTTGACATAGTGATAATTCCTCCATTAATTTGCTTAATCTATCATCAACATCATCATCGGCAGCAACAGATCAGTGTACCACATCGATGCCGTACAGCCATAATTTATTTGATAGCCTTGTTGTGAATAAAAGAATAAAGGTGGATGGGACTTGGTGCTAGCTTAACACAATCATTCCAAGGTGCCTACACATCCAGACATTCACTCAAGCAATCTGAATGGAAACTGACAACAAGATCGCCACTGGTATCGGTTGGCAGCCATATCTTCTAGTGTCTCCATCCAGGCGCAGTGAGGATCAGGCGGTCCCCATCCTGGAAGGTAAGTAGCACAGACAGCACCCAAACTTTTCGTAATCTCTTTCACACCCCTCTACTAGATCAAAGTTTGGCCACCTCTCCGCTTCTGCCACTCTGAGGGCATGGTAAACAGCACTCTCTGTGGCAAACGATGGTTAGGCATACGCAAATCGTGTCCAAACCAACGCAGCTGGACACATACTTCAATGGAAGTACCCGGTACACAACCAAAACTCGCTTTCTAGTCGCTCCGTTAGGAATTCCTCGACACCAATCTACTCGAGACAGCGACAGTCAAACACTAGAAGTCTTTCCGCTGGTCGGATAGACCAAATCTCACAGCCATACAACAAAACAGTACGCACTGTAGCTTGATACACACGTCCCTTCAGATTCAGGGATAAACCATTCTGACGCCATAGGTGTCTCAAGTTAGCAAACGCGGCCCGAGCCTTGCAGATTACTGCATTCACCTCATCTGTCACACTACAATCAGAACTAATACAACTTCCAAGATACGTAAAACGCTCTACAACTTCCAGTACCTCTCCCTGGATTGTAAGTGGCGTGTTCAGTGACTGCACGTCCACGAGCATGACCTTACACTTTGTGGGTGCAAAGCGTAAGGACGGGATGACTTTGATCAGTTTATCCAAGAACTCTTGCGTCTTCTCCTCCTCCTCTAACATGAGAACGGTATCGTCTGCACATTCCAGATAGACAAGGTTTTCGTCACGGGCTGTTTGAACACCGGGGTTTTGGAGACCTTCCAGCGTTTGTCTCATTATTTCCTCGATCACGAAGCTAAACAGGAATGGAGAGAGTAGTCATCCCTGACGGACACCGCTTGTGTGTAGAAGCTTTTGCAGAGCTCGCCGTATACTCTCACACGTCCGGAAGTCTGGGAAAACAAGGAGCTTACTGTGGAGATTTTGTCCTGTAAGTGAAGCCAATCTACGCTGAAAAGCCGAGAAGCACTGTACAGCTGTTGCATCCTTATTGGGAATCATCAGCAGTGCGCATCTCACGAAACTCCGCAGAGTCTCGAGCCCGCGACCTCCCGGCTAGTAGTTTGAACACTTAACCGTTTGGCCACGAGTGACTGATCAGCAGTGTGATTAACTCGCACTTAGACAGGATATAGCGCCGCTCATCCTTCAATCACGGGATCCACATCACGCGGTCACACGTGTTGACTGGCTCCTCGAGCTTACTAGGTTCACTAACTTCCGGGGCAATTCTTGGTGGGCAAGCCTGTCAAGTAGAACACACGGTTAACCGAGTGAAAAGCGCCTTGGAAATCCGGGAACACTAGAATTTTGGGTGGCTTATACGTATAGCGTTGTTCTAGCACCTGATAAAGTGTGAAGATTTGGTAAACGAGTTCCACCGTAAGGCGACAAA